TTCCAACTTTGAACCAATCCCCCTTCACACTTCTTAGTCTGATATCTTTGAGATGTCCTTACCATTGGAATTCCTTGGAGATAATTTTTCCTTGATTTCTATCGAGAGTATTCTTAGGTAACTTCAGTTATCTAAGATGTAATTAACTATAGGGGCTTGCCCCTATAGGAAGCTTTTCCCGAACCCAGCATAATATAAACCCTATTTAATTCCTTATATTAAATAGGGGAATTTGTCGGCCAATATATTGGTTTCACAGACCAAACGGATGTCATAACTTTCTTTAGTTTATTTGATCAAGCCTCACCCTCAATTCTTGTGTTCATCCTTCGGGATAGATGCAGGGTTTGAGGTAAAGCGCTCTTTCATTTAAACTATGAAAATTATGGGGTCAGTTTGACTTCATCTTTTTCAAAACTAAATTTTTTAACGTCCTTCCGAAGCGGGCAACGGGATTTCAATTCCGATGACCGACAGCTTCTTACGGGCAAACTCCACACCAAAAATAGTGCCGACAAAAGCAATGTTGGAAACTTATAAATAAATATGACCAAAAGTAAGTCTTAAAGTACATTTATTATCTGATATATAATACAAGCTTAATTTACTCTTTAATTTTGAGTTTCATTGAAGTTTACATCAATCAAGCGGAAGGAAAGAGATCTTAGTTCAAAAAGAGCTCGATAAAAAAATCATCCATAATCAAGTAAATGAGACCATTGTTATAAGATAAACAACCTATTAAAGAAGAAATATGGAACACCCACCAAAGTAGAGTCAAATTCCTCTTTGAAAAAAAAAGTAGATTTCAAGTAGCATACTAAATTATGGTCTTTCACCATCATTTTATTCACGTGTTATTTAATAGAAAAGTAAAACTCTAACATAATGATAAACATGACCTTCCTCTAACATTACCTTCCTTTAACATTAAGAAAGCAGAAAACAAGGAGACAGCAAGCACAAAATGCTGTGAAAAATGACAATAATAAAGCCAAAAACCGAATCGAGAAAAATTACAAAACAGATAACACAACGGAAACACATAGATTTATGTGGTTCAGCAAATTGTCTATGTCCACAGAGCTGCAAATGATTTTATTACTTCGAGAAATACAACCGTCGATCGCCTCGATGATTACAAAAAAGAATTTCTCTCTCTCTCTCTTCTCTCTTCTCTCTCCTCTCCTTCTCTCTCTCTACCCGAGAGCTTCAAACCGAAGCACATCAGACGAAGAACTTGGAAAGCTACCAATGTCGAAGAGAGATGTCAAGGAAATCAAATCCCGAGAGAGCTAACAAGGGGAGTTAGCATGCCTATTTATTAATTTCATCACGCCATTAGACCCATTAAGGAACTAGTCAAATAATTAATGAAACTTATTAATTATTTTCTTTTCTCTCATGAAACAAATCATAGAAGAAATTAAGAGCAATTAATTTCAAGTTTCAAATCCAGTTTGTTGTCAACATGAGAAATGTCAATTTGAGCGGTGAACCGGTTTCCATATTCGCAACAAATTTCCCACTTGGAGACTGGTACACTTGCGACATCATCCACTAGTTGCGTCGTCTTTTTCTTCAAACTTGATATCCTCTACCTCTGCAACTCAAAACTCATTGTCTTCACGATAGAAGACCAATTGAAGTCGAGCACAACTTCAGTTTCCCAAGAGTAACACATTTAGTTGACATATCAGCTTCAACATAATCTTATGCCTCCAAGCACTTTTCTGGGTTACTCATGTATCTGTTTACGACTCCCACTGCATGGGCAATATTCTGTCTCTGCTGAAAGCCCTTTTCAACAAGTATATCATTGCACCTCTTACTGCCATCAAGCGCAGTCTTCACCCAATACACACACTTGTTGTGCAATGTCTTCTTCCCTGGTGGAAGTTTTGTCAGCTCCCAAGTCTGATTCCCTGATAGGGAATCCATATTTTTTGGTCGTTTTCCCAGTAACGGAAAATGAAGTTTTTTCTCAAAGAGGTAGTCTTCTATCTGCATCCTTCAGTAACCAAAATCTGTGTCATTAAACTTCTCGATCTCCGATGTCATCACTTCGTCTCCGCCCATCGTTCTTCCTTTCAGCTTCGAACCAAAGCTCTGATACCGGTTGTAAAAAACAACGACAATAAAGCGAAAAACCGATTCACAAAAAATTGCAAAACAAATAACACAACGGAAACACACAATTTACGTTGTTTGACAAATTGCATACGTCTACGGAGCTGCGAAGGATTTTATTACTTCGAGGAATACACCTGTCGATCGCCTCGATGATTACAAGAAAGAATCTCTCTCTCTCTACTCGAGAGCTTCAAATCGAAGCACATTAAAAGAATAACTTGAAAAGCTATCAATGCCGAAGAGAGATGCATGAGAAACCAAATCCTGAGAGAGCTAACAAGAGGAGCTAGCATGTCTATTTATTAGTTTCATTTCGTCATTAGGCCCATTAAGAAATTAATATTTCATTTTCTCTCATGCAGCAAATCATAGAAGGAATTAAGAGCAATTAATTTAACAATTAATTTCGAGTTTCAAATCCAATTTATTGTCAAACACGAGAAAATGTCAATTTGAGTAGTGGACCGGTTTCCATATTCACAACAAAAAAACCAAAAGCAACGAAGCTTTACCATTGTCCCTAAACTTTATTTTCTCATTAGTCACCAAAAAGTGCTCCTAATTAATTTTTTTCCAGTTGGCTCACCATAAAACAGCTGTAAATTTGGTAAAAGTTATAAAAATTAGAAATTTACAACCCATTTTTTTTAAAAAAATATTTTCTATACTCCACTATGAAAAGCAATCATCGGTTAGACCTGATTGGTGAATGAAAAATAATACAACAAAGCATTTACTAAGACCAAACTTCCAATCTTTTACCATTTCATTTCCCTTTCTTTGCTCACCAACTACATATAATTGTGTCAACATATATTTGTGTGTGTGTGTGCGCGCTGCAAATCGTGGCCTGGGGTTGGCGAGGTTCACAGTAAGTCCCCTTAGGTCACGGGTTCAACCCCTAGTGACGTTGAGTTCTCGAATATTTAAGCACAATGCACGAGCTCTCATCATGAAGTCTAATGCATGAGAAATTGGTATTTAGGTCTTCTGTCAAATACTGATTTTCTTACAGATATATATATATTCATGCATGTATATATATATATATATGTCATTGCATAAACAATAAGTATGTCATTGCATAAACAATAAGGTTATTTTATCTGTGGAGTCGTTTGGCCGGCCTCCATTTCGAGCATGGCCAAGCCAAATGGAGGACGAAAATGAAAAACGACAAGTAGAAAGATATTTCGTTAGTCAAACAAATGGAGGGCTCTTCTGTAATTAAAACCTGTTTATTATTGTATATATGAAGTTATGAATAAAAGCCACGTGCTTATATCGAATAATTGAATGACATGTTGACATAAAAATATCAAATTGTTGATCTTCACTATTAGTGTAAATTTTTCAGTTGGAAAAAAAATTAATCCACTAATATATTTAACTGAATTTAAATTCATTTCTTTCTTAGGAGATGTTTGAAATCACTTTTTTTTTTTTCTATTGTTATTTTTTTATTTTTATATGTTGTGATATTAAATAAAATAAGCTTGGTCTGTTAAAATAAAATAAATTTATTTTTTATTAATTTCAAAATATCTAGATTTATTTGATTTTTTTTAAAAATAAGTTAATTTCTTTTTAAAAATTAAGGAATATGTAAGAGATATATTAAATAAATACTTTTTTAAAAAATAAACATTAAAATTGAGAAAATAAAGATACATTTATTAAAATTTGATTTGTATATTTATACCACCCAAATCTATCATATCACATAAAAAATCACTACTTAGGACTTCTAAAAGGTTAGGTGAGTATGCATGTAAAAGAAATGATATGAAAGCCCTAAGAGTGTCAGAAATATTCTGTCTGGGCACCGCACGTCCGGACGACCAGCCACTTCGTTATACACGTTAGCGGCTGGTGATGTAGTTGCCATTGGTTGGTCATTCCAACGTGCGGATGGCCAGCCACCTCGTTATACATGTTAGTGACTGGTGATATAGTTGTCACTGATTGGTCATTCCAACGAGTGGACGTTGATACGAAATATTATTTCTCAAAGAGTTTATCAAAACTCAAATTACCACATGCATGCCTCTTTTTCTTGTTCAACTATTCACCTCCATTCTTCCTCTTATTTCTCTCTCTCAGATGGAAAAGAGCTCAGGCATGGTGATGCAGTAACATAAGAATGACAGCGCGAAATCTGTCCAAAGCAGAAACGCCGATAGGTGTAAGCGCTTTAGCAATCTTCGTTTGCTTTGTTCTCTTCTTCACCATCAAGAAAGGCTGCTTGAAGAAAAAACATCTCAAAAAAGGTGAGATGATTTTTCTTCTCTGTTCTTAATACTAAAATTTCTTCTTCTTCTTCTCTGATGAACTGTGGTGATCCTGGGTTATGTTGCAGATGCTAATTTTACGGAGCTGAAGAGATTCAGATTCGATGAACTGAAGCAGGCCACAGATTCATTTAGCGATGAGAGATTGATTGGCTTTGGAGCTTTTGGGAATGTTTACAGAGGAGATTTGGGTGATGAGAAGAGAACTGTTGCCATTAAGAAAGCTCATTCAGAGTCTGATGAGAGTTCGGAGGAGTTCAGAAATGGTTGGAGATTTGATTTTCTTGAATATTTTGTTAGGGTTTTCTTTGGAATACTTATAAAGTTGACATTTTTTTTTTATATCAGAGATTGAGCTGCTTTCTGGAATCAAACATAAGAACCTTGTGGTTTTGATTGGCTTCTGCATAGAATCAAGTAAGGATGACTGGAAATACTTCCTAATCAGTCTGTTTCTGAATTAAAAGTTTTAGATGATAATAAACTATGTATGCAATTGCCCCCTTTTTTTTAATTGCATAATAATGTTGTAAGCTAGTGTGGATTAAAAAGAAAAAAAAAATTGATTTGATATATTAGTAATGAAGTATATTTTCAATCCAAAAACCTTCTTTAGCCTATGAGTGAGAACAACACTGATATTTCTATACCATAATGCTTGTCAACTATCTTGCATGAGACTAATCCTTATATAAGCCTTAGATGCCTAAACTTAAGTGAGTTGGGCTAAGTATGTATGTAAATTTTCTCTTTTTTATTTGCATAAACACGCCGCGAGAGAGCATGGATTAGTTAAAGGGAATCAAAACTGATATGATATGCCAATAAAGAAGATCAATTTTTTAATTTAAAATTTTCAGTGTATGTGTGAGATCAACTACTAATATGTCTATATCACCATGTTCTTTACTTCCTTTTAAATGAAAGGTTTTTTTAGCACCATAAAGTATCCTCAAACTTTTTTTCTGACAAATATCAATGCAAATTTCAGCTGAACAGATCACCAAATAACTAAAAAAAACTTTAAAATAATAGAGAGTTTAAATTTTGCTAGGTAGACAGATATTTTTAACATTTGGTTTGTTTATGAAATGTCATGCAGGGCAAAAGATATTGGTGTATGAGTATGTCTCACAGGGATGTCTACTGGATTACCTTGCTGGTATGTGTTTTCTTCCCCAAATTATCTCTTCATCAAATAAATCAATGCTTCACTTAATTTAATCTTCAAAACAACTTGTAGGAAAAGAAAAAAGGTTTTTAACTTGGCAGCAAAGAGTTAACATAGCTATTGGAACAGCTAAAGGTGAGTTTCAAGGCAAAGTGTCCTCCTTCCTATATTCCCAAAGTCAAATTATGTTTGTAAGTGCTAGTATAACTTACTGGCCTTTTGGGATCTTTTTTTTTTTTCCCTTTTTTATTGTTTTATTTATATTTTAATTTGAAACTAAATATATTTGTAATGTTAAAAAATAAGGAAAATTTGGATACTTACCGCACAATTCTTATGTATTTACATATCTAATGCCCGTTTGATATTTACTCTTATGACAACTTGATGTCATAAAATTATGTATGAAAATGTGTATTTCATTTAAAAAAAAAAGTGATGGTGGTATTTTTATTTGATGTTAAAGATTGGAATAGTATATATGTAAATATGAATGTTTAGGCATTAGATATGTAAATACGTAAGTGTTTTGTGATATGTGTGTAAATTCACCCAAATATAAATCAATCTGTTTTTAAAAATGCTCCAAAAAGTTCGTGGAGTGGTTTTGTTTTAAAAACAAGCTGATTTATTTTTAAAGATATAAAATAAAAATATATGAAAAACACACAAAATAACATATTTTTAAAAATCAAAGCGAAAATTAAAAAATAAATAAAAAAAAAATGATCCCAAAATGCCTCTAGTATTGCTGGAAGTCCAAATTGATTGTATCTTTGACACAAACTGCAAAAGGCTCTCATATGTATGTGTTCATATTTTGTGGTGTTTGAGTTAGCATAGATGTAGTTCATATTTTATATAACTGTCTTTAGGAATTACAAGATTTGTTAAATCTTACTTAAACTAAATCCTTTTTGTAGCTAAAACATCCCCTAATCCTGTAGCAGAAATATGGTAACTAAATAAAACTCAGTATCAGATATTACTGCGATGCAAAACAATAGCTCATCATATTTAGCCATTTTGAACTCATTCTCCTTGTCTTGATGTGCCATAATTTATAAAATAAATGTCACCGTTGATCCATGCAGGCATAGCACATCTTCATGGAGCCAAACCAAGCATAATACACCGGGATTTGAAGCCGAGCAACATTCTGATCGACGAGGAATTTGAGGCCAAGATTTCAGACTTTGGGCTTATGAAGATGGGACCTCATGGAGATGATCCTTATGTCAGCACCCAGATTAAGGGCACCCCTGGATACATGGATCCTGCTTACTGCTCTAGCCACCATTTGAATGCTTCCAGTGATGTATACAGCTTTGGGGTTATACTTCTACAGCTTGTTTCTTCATGCCCTGCCATTGATCATACAAGACAACAGTCTGAATACCATATAAGTAATTGGGTAATTTATCCACTAATTTTGTCTTTCCATAGCTTGCTATTTATTGATTCTTGGTGATTGAATTTAACAAAGAGCTAGATTGTAAAGGGAGAAATTGCAAACAAATAGACACAAAGGAAGTTTATAACTCACTAAGAAGTGCAATCTAAAATGTCGTTCATGATAATACGACCCGATTTTATCATTTTGATGCCACAAAAAAAAATATGTACATTCCATCGTGTTTAAGCTCTTGATTGGAGACTGAATTTGATCACCAATATATCAGCTAGAATTTTGCTCTACATTCCTTAACATTACATTTCTTTTTGTTAGGCCAAGCCAAGTATAGAAAGAGGAATGGTTGAGGATATACTCGACATGCGTCTCCAACTTGAAGCATGTAACAAGGAGGTTATGTTAAAAATGGCACAGCTAGGCATTAGATGCACAGCTTGGGAGCCAAAGAATAGGCCAATAATGAGTCAAGTTGTCAAAGAGCTAGAGGAGGCTTTGCGGCGAGCGACAAACGGTGTTCAATTATCGTCTTTTTCAGAGGAATCTAAAAGTTTCAGTATCAACAGTGTTCAGTTGCAGAGATTCTATATTGATTCTTTTGAAAACTTATCGATACAGAGCACGAGCTTCAGGTGTCTTGATGCTAATAAGTTATCGGATAACATTGAAGAATTTGATGGGAGAAAGCTTGTTTCAATGGTATAATCTTATGATAAATTTTATGTACATATATTTTCTATTGCTGTTAGATTTATCTTCATTTGAATTTTATGATTATAGTTTTATTTGTGCTAATGTTAGAGATTATTTGCATAATAATACATATATTTTTTTGGCTAGGATATTTCAATCTTTAACTCTTCTTGGTATGGTTTATATTTTATGTTAATAAAGTAGTAATGGTTCAGGGCAAAGCAATCTTTACATGTAATAATGTGTGAAATTGGTAGCAGTGGAGAAAGTAGAAGGAATGCAGAGAAATTTATAGTTATTTAGCGCCAAATGTTGGATGAATCGTTCAAATTTTGAATGTATTGATAAAATGCAAATTTACCCTGTTGTGATTATTCTATAATAAGATATATCATATAATATGATTGTATAATATGATATTAAATTAAGTTTTTATTAATTACTTAATCTTCTTTTCTTAACATAATTTTGCTTTTAATATTATTTTAAATTGTGCCGAAGCATGGAGTGCAATCCCAAATTCATACTTTAAGACTCACAGGGTTAACAATCTCCACCTTTTGAGGATGGTAAACATAGATAAGTGAGATTCCCCTTATATTAGTGTGATTTCTTAAATTTCAATTTAATATGCAGTTAATCTAATAGCATATGAATTATGACGAATAAGAAGGTTAATTTTAAAATTTTAGACTTAATTTCATGAAATAAGCACAAAAATATTAGAAAATTATAATGCACATTTATAAATAATATAAGGTATGAATTGCTTTGGTTAGGATCTGAAGAATGACATATGTGGTCTTTCAAGCAAAGAAATTGGATTTGAAACCAATCTCAGTCCTTATTATTTTGTTGTTATGTTATTCTCTACCTCCCATTCTTCTATGTAGTGTGGTCATTAATCTTGAGCTCTAGGTGGGATAGGTGGTTAGTCCAAGCATCCTATTGGTGTATGTATGATAGATATAAGTGCTTGAAGAGGTTGGATTGGTGGTTGTTTAGGCAACATTGCTTCTTCTTATTATTCTTTTCTTCTTCTTCTTCTTCTTCTTCTTCTTAGTAAAACTCAACATAGCATTACATGTTTTCTATTGCTAAAGAGAATATAAAAGGAGTGCTTTATGATAGTAGTTGTAGTAGTAGTCATATGATTATAATGGTTATGATAAGTCAAATTATATTACTATCAAGACATGTTATTACATGACCAAGAGCTAGGTTCTGGCGTTGTTTGGAAGCTAGCTTCTTTTCATGCTTTTCGCTCTTTGGCTCGTTTTCTCTCTCGAGCCTTCTTCTCCCTTAGGCCTCTCTCCCTCCAGGTTCTTTTTTCCTCAGGGTGGGCCATGGTGCAGATAGTCCGAAGGCTGCCCTCATCATTTACAAACTTGGGACCTCACCCGAATGTTGTAGAGCATTCGTCATAAAGTTGTTTGAAAGCTGACCAACTCATTCACAAAGCACAAAGCAAATGTGGGATAACAAAAAAGTTTGTTACGCCCTATTCATAACAAACCATGAGGATAAAAATTTAGGAAATTTAATTATTAAAGCTCTGATTATAAAATAAATGATATCTACTTTTATATTTGATTCTTTTATTCTTATCGCATTCTTATCGCAGCTGTCGCTTTAAAAAATTAAGAGAATCAGGTAACCAAAATATATGCATCAGAAATGCGCTAGCATGAACAACAAGGAGATCCAACAGACTAGGTGACAAAAAATACAACTAAGGAGGGCCCACAACGGAAGACCAAAGGACCCATTTTGTCCAGATGCAATCAAACCTGGGTTAGAGGCCGACCTGATGTAGGCTATCTGAACCAAGCACTAAGGCTAATCGAGCTGAGTAGAGGCATTGATCCACTTATCACCGCAACCTGACTCAAGAGAAGAATTTAATATCACTAGCCATCTCACAGACACCCCTGCGATTCCTTATTAAGGGCCAATAATCAACAATAACATAATCCACGAGCATCCGGAAGGACCCCGTCTTTAATGATTGAGTTATGTATCGAATTACGATGATTCACTCTCTGCCTATATCGTGACCAAGCTGGGGGCTTGAGATTATCCAAGATGGAAACTAATTTTCTTATATTCATCTACAATTTAACGGATAAAAGAATCACTAGTTAAATTAAATTAAATCAATAAAATTACATTTACCTCTTTATTAGTTGTCCACATCTTTTATACACGTGTTCTCTTCTATCGTTCATCTTTTAATCAATTAAATAAACTTGATAAGTTAGTTTAAAACAATTGTGAGTTAAAAAAGTGAGTAAATACTCATACGCTTCAACTATCGTAATACAATGAAAAAATGAAGCAAAATGCATGACAGTTAAACATTTAATAAATCAATATAAACAATTAACATACTATTCAACGTCTTATTATATCTATGTTATATCAACATTATTCTATATTACAATCGCCACATGAACACCACCTAAAAATTGTAACACTTAAGATATTTCAACATAAATATCTTTTTTTCATTTGCAAGCAAGATTTGTTTGGTGTTCCCTCACTAGTATCATCAATGAGTGATTCTATCATAGTCAATCGTACACATACAAGCATTCTGTCAAAATCATTATTTTCTTAAAAATATTTATTTCTCATTTGTATATCAGACAATATATTTATAAATCATTAAAATAATGTTGATATCATACGTGCAATACGAATAAAAATTCACTGGAATTCAAAATCATGAGTTTGCAGTAATTACAATATAACTAATGAAAGTATAAATTAATGCATTTGGTGAAGAAGAAATAAAATATCACCATAGTAGAATAACATGAATACTCACGTCGATGATGACTATTTTTCCTTGATATCGACTCTTAAAATTGGAAGTCTAACATAGTGTAAAATTTAACTAAATTATTATTATAATAAACTATTAGTTTTTCATTATTTAAGTATGAATTTTACATTATGAATTCCTACTAAATTTCTATTTAATATATATATATACCAAAGAGTATTATACGAGCCCCGGTCATTTCTAGGCGTGCTAAATATTTGAGTATCATACCCTATACATGGGGGAGATTGGAATCCGTGACCTGAGGGGACTTGAGAGAGACTGGTCTACCAAGAAGGCACCCTACACGCATATATACATACATATATATAATTAAGTTTTAATATTAAATCAGTTTAATAAACCTTATCTTGGTCAAGACTTCCACCGTACAAGAAAAAAAAACCTCTGCACGCAACATCTTCTTCTTCTTCTCCCTTCATCATCTTTTCCTCCTCCTCCTTCGGCTTTGGGCTCCAAGCACACACGGCCAACACGTCGTCCTCCTCGCCTGCTCGTTAGGATTTCAGTTTTTCTTTTCCTCGCACGGAAGCTTGACGATCATGCTTGCAGGTACTTCGATCTCCTCCATCTACTTCAACACCAAGTGCCACACTCGATGCTACCTCTAAAAGAAACGAGCACCTCTTTCCTTCTGTTATTATTTGATGGTTTCCCTTCTCCCTCCATTCATATTCTTTCTTCTCCTCAAGTTTCTTCCTCCCCTCCCAACTTTCTTCACCACAGACAAACCACTTTGCTCTAACTACGACATTTTATAGAGCAAAATTTACCTTCTTGGTTTTCCGATCCTTCTGCTTCATCTCTCATTTTTTCGGCTATCCGTCTCCTCACTTCCTCCACTTCGATTTTTCTTTTTCTCTTTCGGCTTTTTTGTTTCTTCTTCCCTTAGAAACTAAAACCGGGCTTTACAACCTAATATGGTTATGCCAATAAGAACTAATCATGCATGGATCAATAGTCTTTAGACTAGGGAAGCTGACTCATAAACACAAGCTGAGCAGGCTGAGTCCTGTCGACCAAAAGACCGTCAAAGATCGACTAGCAATCCCGATTTAGCAAAGTCAGACAAGTAGGTCTCAACAAACTAAGACCCACTGATTTTTTAGATCAAGTCAAAAGTTAGCTGAGTCATATGCTTATACATATACAATACCTAAAGTATTCTGTAGCACCCACATTAAAGCAGGGGTGAATATGTAACTTCACATATTATACCCCTCTTCTGAGATAAGAAAATCATTTTATGATAAATAACTAATCAACAATATTTTTCCCTGTTCATTAAGGTGCATTTCTCTCTCTCTCTCCCTCTCCTGTCTTACGCTCTATTCCTTGGGTATGATTTACAGACAAAACAGGATTCAACACCGCTCTTTAGTTGATTTCTGATTATTGCAACTATCATCATTAGTTAATGAAGGTATAAAGATCACATTGCAAAAAAGAGCCGAAGAATAGACTAGTCTTTGTAGCAATGAGTTGTTTTATGTTTTCAAACTATAGCGCAAGTTGTGAAACTGTTTGATAGGATTTAATTAGATTTATTAATCCATTGTCAAATAATTCTTGGGATTTAATCCTTTCATGATTTATTAATTTTGAATCTACATGATTTACTAAATTCTAATAACTTAAATATGTGAAGTTGCAAGACAACCACTTAGAGCCATATTAGACCTTTATTTTTTTAAATTCAAGGGGAACATAAAGTTGCATAAAACTTGATCAGATCAAAATAAGCTAAACACAAATATATTTTTCATTAATATTCTTTTACACGAGTCAAATTCATTTATGATTAAAATCACATGAACTAAATATAAAATGTGAATCATTTACACCCCTTGTTAAACCCCCTTGTTAAAAGGAAGTTTAATTTAAAATAAATAGAACACTTTTGCTTGAAATCTAATGAAAAAAATGGAGAATACTTATGTCCTCTCCCCTTTATGTGTCTTTGCAAATATCATTAGTGATTTTTTTTTGTTCTAAATAAAAGGTTAAATTGTTACCATCAAATTTTACTGATAAAAATTTTAAAATTTGTCATCAAAACTTTCATATTAAGGTCTCGTTTGATGATGCTTTACTATTGATTTTTTTAAAAGTAATATTAAAAAAAAAGGTATTATAAAATTCGTTCTCTTAAAATAATAGAAGTTTTTGAATATAACCTCATTAGTTCCAAAAAAAGGGGAGAAGCTACCAACCGATGAGCAAATCGAAAGAGAAATCAATACCAAACGCAGAACATAGGACTGAAAGCAATGGCCCCGTC